TAGTTAGGCCTGGAAAATCAGGATAGAAGAGGATGTCCGTATAACTTTTTAGCAATCACAGAAGAATTTTTCTTCTATCGTTAAGTAAGTAACAGGTAGATGACGCAAAATAATGAAATAAAGAAAACAAACTTTTAATAACTCACTGTCTCACAATCGATCTCGCGACGAACTTGCATTAGAAGGTAAGTAATGAGACCAGCTCTAGCGGCCTGTGTTGGTTTTGGAAACGGGGTAGTAAGAATATCCATGCCGTAATAGTTGCTATTCGCCATTAGCGGGGCCCGGTTAGCCAGATAAACATAATCTTCCCACCAATCGCTTACCTGATAAGCATGTGGTAGGTAGAAATTTAAAAGGTCAGCGATCATAAGAGAAATGGTTGCAAGTCAGAAATATGAATTCTAAGAGAAAAGGTTATGGAGGTAGAGGAGAATACAAGTTCGAGCATAAAGATAATGGAAAAAAAGAGAAAAAATGAAAAGTAAAGCTATTACACTCAAGTAACTTGAAGAGGTCGAGTAATACAAATAGTTAGCTGATAATCAGGTTTAAAGTTTAAGAAGTATTTATCAAATAATCGAGTAGCTAGCAGCTTAAATTCAATCAGGAGAAGACTTACTCTTTAAGTTAAAGTTTTCGGAGGCTGAATAATTTCAGGAACGTATGAAATTATTTAAAATGTGGCCAGCTATGCCAAGCCATCTTAACCTGAGTTTGAAATGGCACGAGAAAATTAGAGGTTAAATTCAAGGTAGCAATACAACAATGAAACATGTCCACGGCCCGACTCTTGAAATTATCATGCATACTATGGACTCCAGACTAGGTGTGTTTCTATAAGCACTTCTACTAATATGAACAAGTTGTGAAAACAAGTTCAAACAACTTCTATACAACGAAAAAAGACTGCGACCACAAAAGGCCCCACCATCTTGGTCTTCATACATTCGAATAATGAAACACTTCATTGGAAGTAAGCATACAGTAAAAATCACGGGATAAACCATAAATTCTCATAGATTAATCGTAGTTAGCACAACTTCACTCTCTACCATAGACGTTACTTTAAAGGCTGTACGCCTAAAAATCTATACCGTCCTAGTAACTCAACTCCAGCAACGCAAACACATCGTTTGAATCAAGCTGGGTACGGTTACGAGACCTATGAGTTCAAAGCTATCCTTTACTTTGGATAATAATGGCACAATGCAATCTAACGACAGTATAATAAATTTATTACAGAAGTGGGTTGACCTCGTTGTCAGGGTGATTTAGTAGAAAGCACCTAGCCCAAAGTCGCCTGCCATAGCAGTTGTCATGATTCCCAGCATCAGACAGTGGACTTGGTACATTCTCAAACGTTTCGCC